TGCTTCTTCCAGCAGCCGCATTCCGCTCACGTGCCGAGCCATACGTTTGGCACGCTTGGCTACGGTAGGTTCGTGTCGTGTCGACCGGCGGCGACCCCGCCGCTGGCGTTCAACGTTGAATGCCGCTGGCGACTCAGAAAAGGTCGATGCTCAACGATCTGACATTTCGGGAATGGCCGATCGTTCAGGGTTGATCGATTCCCGTGGTGTCAGAAGCCAGCGCAGAAGTCGGCACGACACGAACCTGCCGTAGTATGCCGTTTCAGTTTCATCGTTGTGCACGAGAGTTGTCCAAGAGCAGGCGTAATGCCGCGTCCGCTTCCGTGCGCACTGCGGCTGAATTCGAGGCCGATAACCCAGATCGAGTGCTCCTTCAGGAGCTTCCACAACACCGTCACGTTTTGGTTGTTCCCGACCCTTCTGTGTTGGGTTCTCGTTCCCAACCCTTCCTTAGTTGGGTTCTCGTTTCAAATAGAGCGCTATGGTCTCCATTCTTCCTCATTCCTCCTTCCTCCTCCTGCCTCCGATTCCCGCCTGCATCCTGTGCGCAGCTGTCGCCACTTTCGTGGGTTCCTGGGAGGCACGGCGGAGTGAAGGGCAGCGCAGATCATTTGTGATCTCGCGGTCCCCGTGTGGGGCTGCGAACTGCGCAACTGTCGCCACTTCCGCGGGCTCTTGGGGGCCACGGCGGAGTGCAGAGCAACGCGGATCAGCTGAGACCTCGCGGCTCCGTCGGGGGCTGCGAACTGCGCAGCTGTCGCCACTTTAGTGGGCTACTGGGAGGCGCGGCGGAGGTGAGGGCAACGCGGACGCGGCGAGACTTCGCGGCTCCGTGGGGGGCTGCGCATTGCACAATGGTCGCCACGTTCGCGGGCTACTGGGAGGCATGGCGGAGGTGAGGGCAACGCGGATCATTTTAGACCTCTCGGTTCTGTCGGGTTATGCGAGCTGCGCAAGGGTCGTCTTTTTGGTGGGCTCCCGGGAGGCATGGCGGAGTGCAGGGCAATGCAGATCGTTTGAGACCTTGCGGCTCTGTGGGAGCTGCGAATTGCGCAGCTGTCGCTGGCTTCGTGGGCTCTTGGGGGTCACGGCGGAGTGCAGAGCAACGCGGATCAGTTGAGACCTCGCGGCTCCGTCGGGGGCTGCGAACTGCGCAGCTGTCGCCCCTTTCGTGGGCTCCTGGGAGGCACGGCGGAGGTGAAGGCAACGCGGATGCAGGCGAGACCTCGCGGCTCTGTGGGGGGCTACGAACTGTGCAACTGTCGTCACTGTCGTGCGCTCTTGGGAGGCACCGCGGAATGCAGGGCAGCGCGGAGCATTTGAGACGACGCGGCTTCGTCTAGGGCTGCGAGCTGCGTATCTGTTGCCACTTTCGTGGGCTCCTGGGGGGCGCGGCTGAGTGCAGGGCGCCCACGTGGCGCGTGGCGCCGTCCCGTCATTTAGCGCGTGGCGTTGTTGCCTCACAGGGCGCCTGAACGTCACGAAGCGCATGGCGGTGTCCTCAGCGGCCCATTCCCCCTCCCTTAGGTGCCCTTCGCCCGCAGCAGCAGCAGCAGCAGCAGGGATTGACCGAGCAGATGTAGCGAATGGCGCTCTTACTGTCAACAGTATTTCTCCCCCTTCCGTCTCCATCCTCCTATTCGTCCTCCCCCCTCTTCCTCCTCCTCGTCCTCCGCTTCTGTCCCCAGTCCTATGTTCCCTGTCGTGCTTGTCGTCTCCGCCCTTCTTGCGATCTGATTTGCGCAGGCGTGCGACGCTGACCCGACATTGCTCGGCGACGAACTTTTCGTGCGTCGCACATCTCGCAATGTGTCCTTTTGTATAGACCGTTCATAATACCAAACATCAATCGCCTCACGCGGAGAGGGTTGGGTACATTTCGGATACTTGTTGGCGATTCGCTGTTAGCCATTTTGTGTGTTTGTTTCCCACACCCGAAGATGGGACTCCTGCCATTAATTAGACGCCTCAATACCTCCTCCTCCTCCTCCTCCTCCTCGCGTTCTCTTCTTCTTCTTCTTCTCCATTCTCAGGCCATTCATGTCCTCACTCATCACGGGTCTCATTCCACACCCACTCTTCTTACAGAGTCCATCACGTACCCACCTTTCTCACGCAGGGTCAGCCACATCACTTCCGCAGTCTGGCTCAGACCCGCTCAGGCTTTTTTGGTTGTCCACCGCCCACCGCCGTATAGCACGCGTGGCATTTGGGTATTCCAAGGGACACTGCGGGAGTCGCGCTCAGATTGTAGGGGGTGCCTCAGACGGGTTTCCTGCTTCTGCCGCCCAGCCTTCGTTTTTTTGGTGATCCAATGCCCACCGTGATATAGCAGGCGTGGGCAAGCCAGGGGGGAGCCGCCACGGGTGGGGACATTGGCGGAGTCGCGTTCAGATTGGGGGAATGTTTCAGGCGGTTTGCTTGTTTCTGCCCCCTAGACTGTTCTTTTCTGGTGGGCCAATCTTTACCGTCATATAGCAGGCGTGGCATTTGGGCACCTACAGGGGGAGCCGCCATGGGGTGAGAACACGCCAGGACTCGCGCGCAGACAGTGGAGATGCCTGAAGCGGTTTGCGCCAGTATTGTCACAACTATTAGTTTTACGAATAGGATTGATACGTTGGTCGAAATTAGTTTCACCGTACTTATTCACTACCTCTCATATGATCATACATCGTCCATGTGAAGACGATGCTGCTTCATCTGGGACTGCGTTTGCCACGTGGTACAGATCAATCGAGCGGTGGACGGGCGAGACCCTAACAGTTCCTCTTGGCGATGCGCCCGTCCGCTTCTCTAGGCGGGCCCACTTTGTTTTTGTAAGTACCAGAATTTGCGAGTGGTAATTCATTAAAGATCGATCTCAGAACGTCCCGTCGGGGTATTGCCCGTCGCAGGCGTCTTACCCTTTGGGGTGTAAGCCGTCCTGTTGTGGCTGTCGCCCAGCCCTTCAAATTCTGACCCTACCGTGCGTGCGTGCATGTGTGTGTGTGTGTGTGTGCGTGCATGTTTCCATGTATGCCCCATGCTATCACTCGCTGCTGTGACGTCATTCGGCTGGCGGAGGAAAACCGTTTCTTTCCGTTTGCTGGTAAAGCTGAGACGTACACTGCTGTCGTGTAGTTCATTGTGCGACCGATTTCGCCAATCATGAAGGGTGCGACTGATTCAGTTTTCGTGTATGACACAGCGCGCCCGATACACAATTGTTCTTGGAACGAGGAGCCAGGATTTCTGAATCTGGAACCCAGATTTTTTGAACCCGCGCAAGCCCGATCTCTGAACCCGGAACCAGGTTTTTACACGCCGCGCCATCGAGTATTGTTTCATTGTAGCAGGCTCAGAACGCTGGAAGTACTGTTCTCGCCTTGCTCTCTGGGCCCAGTACGATCAGCGTGCAGGCTTTTCAGCGTTATTGTTTTTGATGATATCATTTCCCTAAGAATTGGCGTTCTCGACGAACGTGTGGTTGGTGACGTTGTGCAACGTCTGGCCAGCCTTGATATCTGGGCGCGCGCCGGAATCATCCTGCCAAGGCCTCCGCCAAAGATTTCTTCGCAGCTACTTGGTTCTGAACGCCGTCTTTTCAGGCACAGTCGCCGTTGGAAGGACACATGAATCTAATGTGGTGGAGCGTCTTCCGTTGCCAGTGTCTTGAGATTCGCAGTATCCCAGCACGTCGCATATCGCTGGATCCCGGTATTGTTCTGTTTTAATTCAAAGACCATGTTGTGCTTTTGCCAATCTCTCCTAGGCAGCATTGATCCCGCAGCCCCCTTGCGGGCAAGCAAGGCTCAGCGAAGCCTGAATCTGTGCCCCCACCATACATCATCATAACCACCGGCATCTTGGCATTGAACATTACCGTCGTGCCGTAACTTTGACCATCGAGGTACTTAACCCATAAAGACTTGGACTTGCTGGGGGACTGGAGGTTCGACAAGAAATTCCTGGTGGATCTCAACAAGAGGCTGGTCGACGGTCAAGTAGGCGTCATTAACAATTGTTGACGCTTCGCGTATCCCCACCAGCCCATCCAGAAACGATGCTCAGGGGAGTTGAGGTGATCAGGGAAGTCGGGGAGCATGCAGAATAACAAAGGGCGGGGGAAGCTGTCACAGACCCCGAGAGGGGGAGGATGGAAGAGGAGTCGTCGTCGTCGTCGTCGTCGTCGTCGAGGAGGAGGAGGAGGAGGGAAGAGGGAGGAGGAGGAGGAGGAGGAGGACGGAGAAGGAGGAAGAATCGGAGGAGGAGGAGGAGGAGGGGAAGGAGCTTCTTGGGGGTCTTTTGAGGGCCTCTTGGAGGGCTTTTTGGGCGCCTTGGGGCATCTTGGGCGCCTCTTGGGACCCTCTTGAGGCGCTCTGGGGAGCCTTCGGGGCGCTTTTGGGGCCATCTTGGAGGGAGTCGATCAAACAAGAGGGGGGGTTTAATTAGCGTCCCCCCTCGGAAGCCCCTAAAATCGCCTCTTGGACCCCTCTTGGAACGCTCTTGGAGTGCTCTTGGGCGCTCTTGGGGCCGTCTTGGGGCTCTTTTGGGGCTCTCTTGGGGCCCTCTTGGGCCATCTTGGAGCCATCTCCAGGCCTCGGATAGCCATCGGAAGCGAAAAGGCGAGAAAGCAAAAATCATTGATTTTCCTTAGGTTTTGGGACGATTTTGGCCTCTTCGGGGCCTCCTTGGGGAGCTGTTTGGCCACTTGGAGTTATCTTGGGGCCGTCTTTGGGCTTCTTGGAACCATCTTAGGAGCCATCGTGAGCGATCTTGCGCTATCTTGAGCCATCTTGGAGCTCATCTTGGGTTCTCTGAGGCGCTCTTGGAGCCGTCTTGGGCCATCTTGGACGCTCTAACTACCCGCGGCCCCCCCCGTCCAGGTCCAGGGGAGGGGGTAGGGGGAGGGGTAAACCCCTCCCCAAGGGGGAAGAGGGAGGGGTGGAAGAGGATCTGCTCTAGACCACCTACGCCCAGAGGGCTGGTGGGATTTCTTCGTTCAAGCATTCGCCGATATGCTCCACAACGAGTCGGTTCAGCTTGTCGCGTGGGGCACGAATTTTGGTGATCCTTTCGAGAACACTCCGTTAGGTCCATTAGGCGTGGATGCATACGACAAGCACTTCGATCCAGGCGAACGGTGTCTGTTTGTGGACCAGACGTACGCACTGGCTCGCGGGGGGGCCTTTTTCCGCTACAATGTTCTTGAGCAGCCGAAGGGCAAAGGAAGGCGTTCTCCCGCAGGAGGGCCTCCCTCCGCGAAGGGCGTCGGCCACGACAGGCTTCGGCCCGAGGAGCTGCCGGGCCGCCTGGCAGTCCAGAAGCTCTTCCGGCAGCGCAAGTGGATCAAGGGGTGGACAATCCTCCTGACCGGCACCGATAAATAGGGGGCCACATGTGAACCCTACCCCTACCCCCCACGATTTCTGAGGGGGAGGGTGAGGTTCACCTCGCTCGGGAGCTCCCGAACGAAGTGAACCCCACCCTCCCCCTCAGAAATCGTGGGGGGTAGGGGTAGGGTTCACATGTGGCCCCCTAGATAAAGGCGTCGATGGCCTCTCCATGAGCGACCCGTATTTCCGCGAGTACCGCGCCGGCGACTACATCAACATTCACACCGACGTGGTCCGCCAGAGGCAAAACGTCAGGCGGCGACTGTGCTTCAACTACTGGACGCCTTCGCCAGGCTGGGACTCCGCGTGGGGAGGGAGCTTCGTTTGGTGCGGCGGGTTCGTGAAGAGGCCAGGGGGAGGCGGTGCCTTCCCCGCGGCGTTCCGCGCGCCCACGCGCTACAACCAGGTGGGCATGTTCGTTCCGTCGGAGGACTCGCGGCACTTTGTCGACCGGGTGAGCGACGCAGCGGATCCGTCTCACCACCGCTTCTCTTTCACCTCCTGGCTTGAGGACACCACGCCTCCACCGGGGTCTGAGGAGCTCTGATGCTCTCAGGGCAGGGGCGGCTCTGCCACTGAGGTGGCGGGACGCGTGTTACTTGCGAGTTGGCCGTGGTAGTTGTGGCATTATAAGTCTAGTCGCTGCAGGAGCAACAGCTTTGCCCTCAGTGCCTGTTCCGCTGTCGTTGAAAGTAGGCATTTCTGCGTTCCCAGACCCCAATCTCCCTTGTTCTTCAAGGATCGACTGGTGTCCTTCTTCCCTCCTCTTCCGGGGGCGGGCGGAAGCCCCATCTGCTTCCAACGCCCTCCTGCTCAATGTCTCTTCCCACTTCTGCCGACCAGCGCGCGTGTGTGTGTGTGTGTGTGTGTGTACAGTGGGCGCCCTCCTAGCTGTCGCCGTCGCATCGTCGTCGTTTCTGCCATGCTGCGCATCGGTGCACCACGCCGACCCGCACCAAGTAAAGCGACTCTGCCGCCGCGGCCTCTTCCGCGAGCCCGGCCGTCCGCTGGGGTCCTCTTAGTCGGAGGCGGCCCCTCCGCACCCGCTGCGCCGGGGCATCCTCCGGTGCCCGACCTCCCGGCGGCGACCGCTTGGGTTGCCACCGTGTTTCTGCCCGCTCCTCCACGCTCTGGCATGCGGTGCTGGGGGCGAGAGAAAAGCGACGCATCCGTGCGGGAGTCGCACCTCGGAGGCAGCGCTCTTGCTCGCGCCTCCTCCGTCCTCCTCTTCCTCGTCCTCTCTCCTTCCTGGAATCCCCCCCCCCCTCCTTTCGTCTTTCTCGAGACGCCCAGCGCCCCCCTGATTTTTCTACCTCCTGGAGCAGTTTCCGTCATCCATCCCCGCTCCTCCCTCCTTGTCCTCCCTCCTCCCTCCGCTCTCCCTCTCTTTCCCCCCCTCTCCCCCGTATCCCTTTCCCTCCCGTACCTCCGAGAATCCTTGGGATCCTTCCGGGAACCTTCGGAAATCTCTGAGAGCCAGCATCAGACCGCCGACTGCCTCCAAGAACCATACCTGCACCTCCTTCCCTCCCTCCCTGCCTCCGCCCCTCCTCGCTCGAAGACCCCGACCCTTCAAGGTCGGCGTGCGCAGCTCAGCCACGCTCCCTCCCTCCCACCCTTCCACCGCCCTGCTGCTGCTCCTCCTCCTCCTCCTCCTCCTCCCGCCCTGCCTCCTCCTCCTCCTCCTCCTCCTCCTTCTCCTAATCCTACTCCCTCCCTCCCTCTTTCCCTCCCTCCCTGCCTCCTTCCTCGTCGTCCTCCTCCTCCTCCTCCTTCTCCTCCTCCTCTTCCTCTTCCTACTCCTATTCCCTCCCTCGCTCTCTCCCTCCCTCCCTCCCTCCGCCTCCTCCCTGCCTCTTCTTCCCTCCGCTCTCCCGCCAGTGCCGGCTCGAGCTCCCAGAGGTGAGCGCGTGCGAGGCCACAGGATCTTGCTTTCGCGCGGTGACGCGCTGGCTTTCCGCCGAGGGTTCCCCAGCAGCTTGCCATGGCGTCGACGGCCACACCTTCGTGCCGACTTCGGCAGGCAATTCCGTGCTTTGCGAGTTCCTTTTCCGTGTCTATTCTCAGAGTCTGCTTCCTCTCCGCGCCGAAGGCGGCGTAGCCAATAGTCTTGCCGTGTCCCTTGGGTTGGCTGCACACGTGGAGCGCCTTCGTGACCTTCGCTGTGGGGCGCGCCAGCCTCGCCGAGTCCTGCACACCGCATGTCATCCGATCCGTGCACACCCAGCGCCGCCTCCCCCACAGGCCAGCGGCGCCGCTGACCGTGGGAGCCTCTGCGTGGGATGGCACGTCCAGACCAAGGCACCGCGCTACCAGTCCCGAGAACGGCTGGCTCGGGACGGTGGCAGGCCACGCAGGGCCCTCTCACCGCGCCGTCTCCTCACGTCAGGACGCCCCCTCGATGCAATCTCGCCAGCCTCTTGGCAGTGACGCGCGAAGTCTGCCCCGCTGCCCCGCCCACCGCCTGTCGGCACGCCTGCTGCCGCGGGTGGCTTCGCTTCTGCCGCCGCACCCACACGGAGCGCAGCGCCGCTGCTGCCAGGGCGCCCCCCCTGCTGACGCGACCCGCGAGGCAGGCCGCGCTGCCGAGGTCGACGCCCCACTCGGGGCGCGGCGCGGCCCGCCTCCGTGCCGCCAGCCCTCCGTGCGGAGGCTCGCCCGCCTCGCCACGCCACGCCTCCTCCGCGTGCGGCGCGCCGACGTCCAGGGTCATGCTGAGCCTCCCGCTCCCGAGCCAGGCTGGCGGTTGCCAGGATCTCCCCGCTCTGCCGCCCGTGCCCTCGGCTCCGACGCCGGGCGTGGCGAGCCCCCAGAGGGCTCCGCCCACGCCCCCGGCTGCGAGCACAGCCCTCCTGGGCACCGAAGGGCCCCAGGGCGGGTCGGCCATTGCCCCCCAGCGGCCTCCTCCTCCTCCTCCTCCTTCTCCTCCTCCTCCTCCTCCTCCTTCAAGTGGCCGTGCCAGGCTTGAACCGCCCAGCGCCACTTCAGGAATTCAGAAATGCAAGTAGAATCAGAAGCATGACGCCATGGCGACTGTTGTGCTCAGCGGCGCTTCTTGGGCAGATATGCTTTGTCATTCCGAACAGCGCCACCCGCGGGCGCACCCAGGATATACTGGACGAGCTGCACAACGAGACGGTGATGAGCCTGATGGGCACCCAGGAGAAGGAAAACCAGACGCGGTACTCGAACTGCTGCGAGGCGATCTTCGGGCGGATCACGAATTCGCTCGACTCTCAAGCTGGCAGGTGGACACCGGTTTTGAATTCTACTTTCACCGAGGAGATAGGTGGAGTTATTGGGTCCTCTGGCCATGGTGAAGAGGAACGTAAGTCAGCAGTGCTACTGAAGCCAGACTTGCTGTACCACGAGCTGTACACGATCAGAGATACAAGTTGCACCTTCGTCTTTAGTGGTGCGACGCGAATTCTGGATTATTTAGCAATGCCGAAGGCTATCCAGTCGGAAGTCAATTTCAAGAGAAGCATGCGGCGACTGCAGGCGCATAATACATGGAGACGTGAGTGGGATTTACCGCTTGGCATGTGAGTTCAGTGGTCGAACGATCTGATACTAGAGAAGCAAGTAATAATCGAACAGACGACAGCGAGTGCACTACTACAGCGAGGATTCGCGAAGGTTCATACCTTGTCACGGGCAGTCTGGGTTAAAAGCAAGACGGGCTACGCGATGGCGGTGGCGGCGAGTCACATATTGCAGTTATTGGTGGAAGCTTTGAATGCAGGAGCGATAGCAACTTGTACGATGAAGGAGGGCTACACCGAATCTCACTCGGACTATGCTAAAGAGCAAAGTGGTTTACTTCACGATCGACGAGCAGTGCGAGAACTTTTAGCAGTAACATATGAATTGGAGGACGAACATCTGCAGCTGGAACCATCAGTTCGGATCACAACAATCAGTAAATGGCTACGGCAGCACAAGCAGAGATACTGGCGACGGGTGGAAGAGGATAGAGTACGTGTCTTTGAGGAGGCACAAACACAACGAGACCTTCACGAAGTGCATCAGATGGTGCACGACCTGCCTGAACACGTAGTGACGGCCAATGAGACGCAAGAGGACGTGGGCGCATTCAAACATGAGGTTTGGAGGTTATGGCGAGTGGCACCGCCCGAGAGTACTTGTGCAGAATTTCTTCGAGTGGCAAAATTTCCGAAGTTGGTTGACAAGCGGAGGCAGCAACGCAACTGCGGGGTAGGATACGAGATGGAGAAGACAACCGCGGCCCCCGTCTACTGTATCAGCTGCTGCCTGATCAGAGAAAGCGGAAAGCTACCTTTATCTTGGAAATTGTCAGATGAGAGCAAGATTGATAAAGGCAAGGGGAAGGAGGGCGCCGACGTCGAACGTTTGATCACGCTAGTGCGCACGCTGGCGAAGACTTACTATAGGTCACACCTGGCACAAGGCGCACTTCCTGAGCCTGAATCTTGGATTCATGGATGCATCCCAGGCCGACGACGAGAAGCAGCAGCAATGGTACAGCAGGCTTGCTCTTGGCAAACAAATCGTAGTCATCAGTCACACGTCAAGATGCTCAACGACGCCGCATGCGCCTCCTACTGCATTGTTTGCGAGGAGGTCGACGTCATCTTTCGTGGAGAGGATTGGCAGAGCATGAAGTTTCGAGGCGCATTGGCGCCTGTCACGATTCCTGGCGGTACAACGGGAAGTGTTTTATTACTCCAACAAGGGTGTGTTCCTGGCGATCCAGCTATGGTGAGGCCTTTCGTGGGAACATACAAGCAACAGAATCTACTGTATCTCTGTGGGCAGAACTCTTTTTACTCGGAGGCTAAGTCTTTTCGGCAGCAGTGTACCGAAGTATATGCAAGCGATCTTGGGCCTCGCATCCATTCTCAGCCTGCTTTATATGACATGGAATACCGACTGGCAGCAGGAAAATCAGCCGATTCGGGGGCAGCAAAGTACATCACGGCTGGAAGATTAACTTACTAAAAGGCCACGTGGCGAATGCATGCTACAGCGGAGCAGAAGCACTCTGCGCGAAGTCAGAGCCCATGCGAGCACAGGAATGGAAGCCCGTTCTCAGCTCTCTTGCAATGCGTGCAAAGATACTGTTGCGGGGAGCTGCCCAGCAAAACGAAGATGGTTCCATCCGTGCCCTCCCTAACCTACAGGTCTTAACGAAGGTAAGGCTAGCAGCTTCGCGCGTAGCGACAAGAGTTCGACGGCTCAGATGGCTACATCAGTGTCTCAACAGGCACAAGCGATTCGCTCAGCTCCTGGCGGTTGTTTTCGGGCGCTCACGGAACGATGAACGAACCGAAATCGACAAGTGCACGAGCGAGGACGAGAGAGTGAACCCATGGGGCGAGCAATTGTGCGACATCAAAACGATCGAGCTTTTCGACGATGGTGCTAGGCTAATAGACACATATGGAGTCGAGGAGATCTTTTTCGAGGGGAAGGAGGATTTCGTTCAAATGGACGTAAGAGGGACCTGGGCGCACTATTTCATTATGCCACCAGGTGCTCGCCACGCAGATTGGGGACGCACGG